GGGGATCATGAAGCACATTGCAGTAACCTGTGACACAGAGAAGTGTCATCTACATGAGGCTTGGGGAATCAAGGATTCTCTAAGCACGATGGCTAAGAGCACTGTTTCTGGAGCCAGATTGCCTGGGCTCCAGGCCGGCTCCATCACTTGCCAGCTTCGTGACCCTGAATGGGCAATTATTTAATGTCTCTGTGTCTCAGTTCCCTCATCTGTGCAATGGGGATAATCACATGTTAGTACCTACTTCATAGAGTCATGGTGAGGATTGAATTGATTCATACAGTGGTTAGTACCCACTGTGTGAACTGTATAAAAGAGAATCATTCTTATCCATCAAGTTGCTGAGAGATGAGAGATAGTCATAGTCAATTAGTGGCAGAGCAGAGCAGAACCTCATCGTGCCGGTCTGCGGGCGGAAGAGGGAATGGGGCTCCTGAATCTCTTATAGCAAAAGGATCAGTTAATAGGTGAGCAAAAGAATGAGAGTGACTGAGATTTCTAATCTGTCTCTACTTAAATATTTCAGAGAAGTTACAGCAGAGTGGAAATGGACCTCAGAGTTTATTTTTCCAAATCCCTTTTTATAGATGAGGAAACTGCACCCAAGAGAGAAAGTCCTTGGTCATGACCACAGTGTGGGGTGGTGGTAAAAGAGGAGCTGGAACCCAGGACTCCTGGCTTCTGCCTGTGCGTGTTCTTCCTGCTGCTCCAGGCAGGAGTCGGGGCAAGCTCTCTGGCTTGGGGAGAAGAGCTAGCTTCTCATTGGGTCACATCACTCCTAGGACTAGCCTGTGAACAACATTCCCATTGTAATCAAGAGCCTGGGACTGTTTTTGGTGTTCGCAGCACAAAATTTCCCTAAAATCCTGGCAAGCCTTACTAAAATGTAGACTATACGCAGCTCATTAGTTCCATCTTGTATTTCTTGAACCCATTTGGACATCACGAGGCAATGCAATCCTTAAGGATGAGCTGTGACATCGAACCGACATTGCCTCCCAGCTCTGTTACTGCAAGCTAGGAGTGGGTTGTCTAGGACATGACACTATATCGAGGATTCTCAGAACCAGGCCTGGTTCAGTAAATGTTAGATTTATTATTATACCTATTATTGTAGTTGCTCAATACATATTTGTTGAATGAATGAATATACGAATAAACAAATGATTGGACCACTGAAGGAACAAATTGCCTAAGCAGACCCCAATTTACGGTTACAGCTCTGGGCATCCCATAGAACTTGCTAGGCTTAGTTTTGTCAGAAGAGGGCAGCATTGGATCAGGAATGTCAATTTGCCAAAGATTTCCAAGATTTATAACCCTCTCTTTGGGCTCCCACCTCCCAGTCTATCTTGGGAGGCCACTTCTAATGTGCAGGTTCTTATCCGGGAAGTTCCACCAGTCCCTGAGAGGGGAAGGTCAGTATCTTTAAGGCTGTATTGTCCACCACCCAGGGTGACTGAGGGCTGGAACTAAGGTCTGGAAACGAAATGCGATGGTTGAGGTCTCGGGCTGGAATTGGGTGGTGAGCTGAGCCCTGCAGCCCTTTTCCCAGAGAAAAGGGAAGAGGGGCTCAGGCATTCATACTAAAGCAAATTCCAAATGAGGAGTTAGCTCCTCAGAAACAGAGAATGCCCGGCTGACCCTTCTCTACTCTCTCCTGCCCCCACCACGTTCTGAATCTCCCCCATCCTATCCCTGAAGGCCTTTCCTCACAGTTTACCAAATCCTATCCTTCCTTCAAGGCCTCTGTGAGGCCCACTCTGGAACCCCTGAGCCAGAATAAGACTCACCCTGTCAGCCCGGCATGGTGCTTTGTACCTCTCTTGAGAGCCTTCCCACTTTCTGCCTTGGATTATATGGTAAATCATGCATTTATCTTATTTCCCTTACTAAACTGTAAACTTCCTAAGAGCGGGAGCTAATCATAGGCACCCCTCAAGACTCATCATGGGGGGGCTCCATAGTGTAGTGGTCAGCACGTCTGCTTTACACGCAGAAGGTCCTGGGTTTGCACCCCAGGTGGAGCCAGGGAAACAGCAACATCCATAGGTCAGGGGTGGAAGGAGTGGGGGGCATCAAAGAAGGGGGAAAAAAAAAAGACTGACCATGGAAGCATTTCTTTTTCAGGAGACCTGCTTTCCCACCC